TTACCCGAGCTAATGGGAGCTCACCAACTCTAGCTGGATTTGGAGGGAACAAGTATAAAACCAAACTAGTCCCTGTGAATGAGGTTGACAGTTGCATGGCTGGGGCAGATTGAGGAGCCACCACCAATGTCACCAGGATTTATACCTACTGCATGTACTTGCTTTTGGGGAACCTATTTTCTTTGGATGGATACCGTGCTCAACCTAGATATAGTAGGGAGGGCCTTCAACCTTCCCCAAAGCCATGAGCCTTAACCTCTCTATGGAGTGAGTGGGGGTGAGGTAGAGTAAGTGGAGGTCATGGAAGGAGGGGAGGGAATGGAAACTTGGATTTGTATGTATAATAAAAAGATAGTTTGTTTTCTTTTTATAAATATAAATAAATTAAAAATAGATAAAATAAAAAATAAAAGAAATAAAATAAAAAATGAAATATGGGTGCAGCAATGGGCCCCTTACAAGGTTCCTCTAAGCAGTGCATTCTTAAATTCTAAGATTCTTACTAATTACTTCTCATTTTCTGCTTCTAGTGACATGCCCAATATTTCATATGTCAATTTAGCATTATCAGGTTTTGTCTTTATTGTTTATTGAGCTATAAATTTTTCTCACTCCCTTTGCTTCCTCCCTTCTTCCTTTCTACCCTTCTCCTATGTCTCTTGCACCCAGTTTACTCAAGAGATTTTGTCTTTTTCTCCTTCCTAAGTGGATCTATGTATGTCTCTCTTAGGGTCCTCTTGGTTTTCTAGGTGTTCTGGGGTTCTGGACAGTAGGCTGGTTGTCCTTCGCATTATGTCTGTATCTGCATGTGAGTGAGTACATACTATAACTATATTTGTGTTTTTGGGTCAGGGTTGCTTCACTCAGTATATTTTGTTTCTAGTTTTGTCCATTTGCTTGTAATTTCAAGATTGTTTTTTTCCAGATGATTTTTTTCCACTGAGTAGTATTCCATCTTATAAATGTACCCCAATTTCCTTATCTATTCTTCAGTTGAGGGGCATCTATTGTTTACAGGTTCTGGCTATTATGAATAATGCTGCTCTGAACATAGTTGAGCAATTGTCCTTGTTGGTCTCTACCTAAAAGTGGAACAATTTTTTGCTTGGTCTTGAGGTAGACTGGTTTCTAATTTTCTGAGAAACTGTCATACTTATTTCCAAAGTAGATGTACAAGTTTGCACTCTCACCAGGAATGGAGGGGTTCAATCAGTGTTTTTACTATTGGCCATTCTGACAAGGGTGATATAGTATCTCAGAGTTATTTTGCATTTCTCTGATGACTAAGGACGTTGAGCATTTCCTTAAGTGTCTTTTCAGCATTGTTTCATCTATTAAGAGTTCTCTGTTATCTGTTACCCTTTTTTAAGTTGGATTATTTGGTATTTTGGTGTCTAGTTTCTTGAGTTCTTCATAGATTTTGGAGATAAGTTCTCTGTCAGATGTGAAATTGGTGAAGATCTTTTTCTTTTCTATAGGCTTCAGTTTTATCTAGTTGACTGTGTCCTTTGCTTTACAAAAGCTTCTCAGTTTTAGGAGGTCCCATTTATTAATTGTTGCTCTCAGTGTCTGTGCTACTGGAGTTATAGGAAGCGGTCTTCTGTGGCAATGTCTTCAACAGTACTTCCCTTCTTCTCTTCTACGAGGTTCAGTGTGGTTGGTTTTGAGGTCTTTGACCCATTTGGACTTGAGTTTTGTGCACAGAAATAGGTATGGATCTATTTTCATTCTTTTACGAGTTGACATCGAGTTATGCCAGCATCATTGGTTGAAAATGCTTTCTTTTTTCCATTTTATAATTTTGCTTCTTTGTCCAAAATTAGGTGTTGATAGTTGTATGGATTGATATCTGGGTCTTTGGCTCAATTCCATTCATTCTTCTGTCTGTTTTTATGCCAATAGCAGGCTGTTTTCATTACTGTAGCTCTGTAGTCGAGTTTGAAGTCAGGGATTGTGATGCCTCCAGATTTTCCTTTCTTGTACAGGATTGTTTTGACCATCATGATTTTTTTCTTTTTTATATGAAATCAAATATTGTTCTTTCAAGGTTTGTGAAGCATTTTGCTAGGGATTTCATTGAATCTGTAGATTGCTTTTGATAAGGTAGTCATTTTTACTATGTTGATTCTACCTACCCAAGAGCATGGGAGATTTTTCCATTTTCTGATGTCTTCTTTGATTTCTTTTTAAAAAGGATTTAATGTTCTTATTCATAAAGGTCCTTCTCTTGTTTGGTTACCATTACCCCAAAGATATTTTATGTTATTTGTGTCTTTTGTAAAGGGTGATATTTCTCTGATTTTTTTCTCAGCCCATTTATTATCTGTATTTAGGAAGGGTACTGATATTTTGAGTTAATCTTGTATCCTGCTATATTACTGAGGGTGTTTATCAGTTCAGTTGTAGGAGTTCCCGGGTACAGTTTTTGGGGTCACTTATGTATACTATCATATAATCTGACTTCTTCTTTTCTAATATATATTCCTTTGATCTTCTTTTGTTGTCTTATTTCTCTTGTTAGAACTTCAAGTACTATGCTAAATAAGTATGGAGAGAATGGACAGCTTTGTCTTGTTCCTGATTTCAGTGAGATCATTTTGAATATCTCTCCATTTAATTTGATGTTGGTTTGCTATATGCTGCTTTTTTTATGTTTAGGTATGTTTCTTGTATTCCTGCTCTCTCCAAGACCTTTATCATGAAGGGTGTTGAATTTTGTCAAAGGTCTTTTCAGCATCTAATGAGATGATTATGTGTCTTTTTTCTTTCATTTTGTTTATACAGTGATTTGCATTGATAGATTTTCATATGTTGAACTATTCCTGCATCTCTGGAATGAAGTCTATTTGGTCATGGTGGATGATTTTTCTCATGTGTTCTTGGATTTGGTTTGCCAGTATTTTAGCATTAATGTTCATGAGGTACATTGGTCTGTAATTCTGTTTCTTAGTAATATCTTTGTGTGGTTTGGGTATCAGGGTAACTGTAAACTTGTAAAAAGAGTTTGGAACCTTTTGTTTCTATCATGTGGGGCAATTTGAGTTTCTTCTTTGAAAATCTTGTAGAGTTCTGTGCTGAAACCATCTGGCTCTGTCTTTTTTTTTTTTTTTTTTGTTGGGAGACTTTTGATGACTGTTTTTAATTCCTCAAAGGTTATAGGTCTATTTAATTTGTTTATCTGGTTTTGATTTAATTTTGTTATGTGGTACTTATCCAGGAAATTGTCCATTTCTGTTAAGTTTTCCAAATTTGTGGGGTATGGGTTTTTGAAGTATGTTGTTGTGTGTAATCTGGTGATTCTCTTGACTTCCCCTGTGTCTGTTGTTCTGTTTTCATTTTTGATTTTGCTGATTTGGTGGTCTCTCTTGCCTTTGGTCAGTTTGGATAAAGGATTTTTTTTGTTGTCTTTCTTGAAGAACCAACTCTTTGTCTCATTGATTCTTTATATTGTTTTCTTTGTTTCTTTTTCATTGTTTTCAGCTCTCAATTTGATTACTTCCTGTCATCTAGTCCTCTTGGGTGAGTTTGATTCTTTTTGTTCTAGAGCTTTCAGGTGTACTGTTCATTTGCTAGTGTGGGATTTTCCCAAATTCTTTATGTAGGCACTTAGTGCTATGAACTCTTTTCTTAGCACTGCTTTCATTGTGTCCCATAGGTTTGGGTATGTTGTGTGACCATTTTCATTGAATTTTAGGAAGTCTTTAATTTCTTTTTTTTCCTTTTTGACCCAGTGGTGATTTATGTGAACATTGTTCAGTTTCTCTGTGTTTGTGGGCTTTCTGAAGTTAGTGTTGCTGTTCTATTCTAACTTTAAGCCATGGTGATCCGAGAAAATGTAAGGGGTTATTCCAACATTTTTGTACCTGTTGAGATTTACTTTGTTGCCAGTATGTGTTCAATTTTTGTGAAAGGTCCATGAGGTTCTGAGAAGGCATATTCTTTTGTGTTTGTGTGAAATGTCCTATCAATGTCTGTAAAGCCCATTTGCATAATAACAATGGTTAGTTCCTTTATTTCTCTGTTAACTTTCTAATGATAGACCCATCCATTGGTGAGATGGAGTGTTGAAATCTCCCATTATTAGTGTGTGGGTCTTGATGTGTGATTTCAGCTTTAGTAATATTTCTTTTATGAATGACGATGCTCTTGTATTTGGGACATAGATCATAGGTGTTCAGTATTAAGACTTCATCTGATGAATTTTTTGTGTGATAAATATGAAATGACCTTTTTCATCTCTTTTTATTAATTTTAGTTTGAAGTCTATTTTGTTAGATTATTAAGATAGCTACACCAGTTTGTTTCTTACTCCATTGGTTGGAAAATCTTTTCCACTCTTTTTCTCTGAAGTAATGTCTGTCTTTGTAGTGGAGGTGTGTTTCTTGTACGCAGCAGAAGGATGGACTTTGTTTTTATATCCGATCTTTTGGCCTGTGTTTTTTATAGGCTAGTTGAATCCATTGATATTAAGGAACTAATTGGTAATTCCTGTTATTTCTATTTATTTTTGTTGTTGTTAGTAGTATTGTGTATATATTTCTCTTCTTTGGGATTTTCTGGTGTGGCATTATCCATTTCCTGGGATTCAGTGGGTGTAGCTAACTTCCTTGGGTTGGCATTTTCCTCTTAGCACTTTGTGTAGGGCTGGACTTGAAGATAGGCAATAATTTAATTTGGCTTTGTCATGGAATATCTTGTTTTCTTTATCTATACTGATTAAAAAGTTTGTTGGAAATAGTAGTCTGGGCTGGCATCTGTAGTCTCTTAGTGTTGGCATGATGTCTGACCATGACCTTCTATCTTTCCCTATTTCCACTGAGAATTTGATGATAATTCTGATAGGTCTGCATTTATATTTTACTAGGCCTTTTTCCTTTGCAACTCTTAATATTCTTTCTTTATTTTATATGTTTAGCATTTTGATTGCTTTGTGAAGAGGGCCTTTTTTTGTCCAGTCTCTTTGGTGTTCTGTAACCTTCTTTTTTTTTTTTTCTTAAAGCTTTTACTTTGAGACATGATGGAAATAAACCATACAGGGGCACATGGAAAAGACATGATCACAGAACAATGTTAACACGAAAGCATCAATGACTGTCGGCTAACGTTGAAGCTGACGTTCTGGGAGTTTGACATGATCCAGGGGCTGAAAGAACAGATTAGTACTCCTCCCCTTCTTCCTCACCCTCTCCTTCAACTGAATCCACACCAACCTCCTCATAATCCTTCTCTAGGGCAGCCATGTCTTCACGGGCCTCAGAGAACTCTCCCTCCTCCATACCCTCACCCACATACCAGTGCACAAAGGCACGCTTGGCATACATCAGATCAAACTTGTGATCTAGGCGAGCCCAGGCCTCAGCGATGGCTGTGGTGTTGCTCAGCATGCACACAGCTCTCTGGACCTTGGCCAGGTCTCCACCAGGTACCACAGTGGGAGGTTGGTAATTAATGCCAACCTTGAAGCCAGTAGGGCACCAGTCCACAAACTGGATGCTGCGCTTGGTCTTGATGGTGGCAATGGCAGCATTGACATCTTTGGGAACCACATCACCACGGTACAGCAGGCAGCAAACCATGTATTTACCATGGCGAGGGTCGCATTTCACCATCTGGTTGGCTGGCTCAAAGCAGGCATTGGTGATCTCTGCTACAGAAAGCTGCTCATGGTAGGCTTTCTCAGCAGAGATGACAGGGGCATATGTGGCCAGAGGGAAGTGGATGCGAGGGTAGGGCACCAGGTTGGTCTGGAATTCTGTCAGGTCAACATTCAGGGCTCCATCAAATCTGAGGGAAGCAGTGATGGAGGACACGATCTGGCTAATGAGGCGGTTAAGGTTAGTGTAGGTGGGGCGCTCAATGTCGAGGTTTCTACGACAGATGTCATAGATGGCCTCGTTGTCTACCATGAAGGCACAATCAGAGTGCTCCAGGGCGGTGTGGGTGGTGAGGATGGAGTTGTAGGGCTCAACCACAGCTGTGGAAACCTGGGGGGCTGGGTAGATGGAGAACTGTGGAGGGCCGGACCACATTCTCCATTGCTTCTAGGAACAAAGGTAGAGATTGACCTCTGTGACCTCAAGGTGTGGCGGTACACGCCTTTAGTCCTGATGCCTGGGCGGCAGAGGCAGATTGACCTCTGTGACCTCAAGGCGTGGTAGTACACGCCTTTAGTTCCAATGCCTGGGAAGCAGAGACAGGCAGATCTCTGTGAGTTCAAGGTGATGTAGCACACGCCTTTAATCCCAGCGCACGTGCTTGGTAACTCTCTACCGCTGCGTCCCTGCCTACTCCCGAGGCATCATCTGGGATAATGGGCAGCGGACCAATCCAAGAGTGACACGTCAGAAGCGAGGACTGTTTCCTTTATAAGGGCTGGGTTCCCCTCATTCTGGGTCTCCGCCATGTAAGCTTATGCTCTCCCTCTCAAGATGCATAAAGCTTTACTGCAGAAGAATCCTAAGTGTCCCGCGTCGTTCTTGCTGGCGAGGCCGAGCGCGGGGCAGAGAACTCCAGCTTGGATTTCTTTCCGTAATCAACAGAGAGCCTCTCCATCAGCAGGGAGGTGAACCCAGAGCCAGTTCCCCCGCCAAAGCTGTGGAAAACCAAGAAGCCCTAAAGACCTGTGCACTGGTCAGCCAGCTTGCGAATTCTGTTCAAGACGGGGTCAATGATCTCCTTGCCAATGGTGTAGTGGCCACGGGCATAGTTATTGGCGGCATCTTCCTTGCCTGTGATGAGCTGCTCAGGGTGGAAAAGCTGGCGGTAGGTACCAGTGCGAACTTCATCAATAACCGTGGGTTCCAGGTCTACAAACACTGCCCGGGGCACATGCTTGCCAGCGCCTGTCTCACTGAAGAAGGTGTTGAAGGAGTCATCTCCTCCCCCAATGGTCTTGTCACTTGGCATCTGGCCGTCAGGCTGGATGCCATGTTCCAGGCAGTAGAGTTCCCAGCAGGCATTGCCGATCTGGACACCAGCCTGGCCGACGTGGATGGAGATGCACTCACGCATGGTAGCTACAGGTTAGAAGGCGAGGGTGACAGCGGACAGCGGGTCCCGGTTACCGTTCCCGACAGCTAAGAGTTGAGGTAAGTAATGCAATGAGGCCGTTCTGTAACCTTCTTGTATTTTCATAGGCATGTCCTTCTGTAGGTTGGGAAAGTTTTCTTCTATGATTTTGTTGTATATATTTTCTGTGGCTTTGCGCTAGAGTTCTTCTTCTTCAGTTCCTATTATTCTAAGGTTTGGTTTTTTATGCTGTTCTAGATTTTTTAGATATTTTTCTGTTAAGAATTTTTTTTGATTTACCATTTTCTTTGACCAATGTATCTGTTTCCTTTATCGTTATCTTCAACACCTGAGATTCCCTCTTTCCCTTCTTGTTTTCTCTTTTTATGTTTATATCTGTAGTTTCTGATCACTTACCCAGACTTTACATTTCTAGCTTTCCCTGGGGTTGTGTTTTCTTTATTATCTCTATTTCCCTTTTCAAGCCTTGAACTGTTTCTTTCATCTGTTTGATTGCTTTTTCTCTTCTTTTTTCTTTTTTTTTTTGGATTCATTGATTTCTTCTAATTTTTTGTTTGTCTTTTCCTCCACTTCTTTAAGAGAATTTCTCTTTAAGGGCCTCAACTTCACCATAAAGTTATTTTAAGGTCATTTTCCTCTGCTTAATCAGTGTTAGATTGCTCTGACTTGCGGATGTAGAACCACTAGTTTCTGTTGTATTCTTTATGTTTTTGAGAGTCTTCTTACCCTCTTGTCTACCCATCTCTTCCTCCAAATGGAACAGCTGGGTCTGTGTTTCAAGAGTGTCCCTTTTTCTTCAATTGATGTAGTTGGGGGCTGTGGTTCCCTTGAACATTCCTTCAGATGTAAGTAGAACAGAGCTTTCTATAATCATTTGTCCAGGTGCTTACACACCCATGACTCAGATGCTCACTACTCCTGGTGCAGGCATGGCTGTTGCTCTAATGGTTGCTCCTCCAGTTGCAGTCAGAGTTGATTCTGAGGTTCCAGTGCCAAACAGTCTCCAGAGTTCACTGCTTTTACCACAGCCTGCAGCTCTGCTGAGGTTTTCTCTCCAGGTGGTCTGGCTTGCCTGCCATGCTGCTCAGGCAGCCTCTCCTGGTGGCTTCTAATTATCATGTTTTAATGGTATTAATTTAGCATAACTGAGTTTTCATTTATATAGCCAATACTCATCCACTATTGCTTTGTGAACTATTTGAAAAATATCTGACTTTCATATCATTTCTTTCTGTATTTCTGGGGTAATTGCCATCAAACTCTAGACATACTCAGGCTTCTATTTACCTTATAGATATCCAGGAAAACAGTGAATGAATATAATTACTATCTACCTTCAAATAATTGTTCTCTTTTTATTCATTATTTGGAGTACCTGCCATTTGTAGCTGTGGTATGTGTTTTTTTTTTTTGGCTTTACTTTGTTTAAACCTCGCACAACATGTGTCATAAATACTAAAACCTTTTAATCACTGTCATTTATTAGCTAACCTGTTGCTTTTATTCCCAATGCTATATATATATTTGTAAAACTTTTATTCCTATACATTTTGTTTTGTTTCAGTTGTTTAAAGTGTTTCACACTTCTAATAGTTTCTTTGCTCATAAGTTACAAACTACCAAAGGAAATCCTAACTTCTACTACTTAAATCTTGTTGTGTTGGCTGGTTTTTGTCAACGTGACATAAAACTATACCTATCTGGGAAGAGTAAATCTTAATTAAGGAAGTCCTTCCACCTGATTGGCCTGTAGACAAGTCTGAAAGGTATTTTTTTAACTTATGGTTGATGTGGGAGGGACACACTCACTGCAGGCAGTGCCATTCCTGGGCAGGTAGTCCTGCATGGCACAAGAAATCAGGCCGAGCCAGACTAGAGGAGAAACGCAGTGTACCATGTTTCTCAATGGCTTCTGCAGTTCCTGTCTTAACTTCAGTCAGTGATGGAGTATAACTTGACGTTCTCCCCAAATTGGTTTTTTTTTTATTAAGGTGCTTTATCATAATCAATAGAAACTTCAACCAAGACAATAGTAGTTAGTAGATAATTTTATTAATTTTCTGAAGTAAAATATGATACTTCTTATGACATCCTCTGTTTCCATTTACCACATTCACCCCAAGGTATCTGCTACTTAGCCACAAATTTGTTTTTTATCTGCTATGACCAAGAGGTCAAAAACTAAAATTTAGCAATTTCCTATCTGTTTCAATATTATTTTTAAACAGTAAGTCTCAAATTCAAATGCTTACAGAGGTCAAACAGTGTGCCAATGATAAAACTTTTTAGCAATTCCCAGAGTATTAAATGCAATTACAAAGCAAAATGCCCCCCAAATGAACTTCCCTATGTATGTAAGAAATATGTTCTTTCAAAGGAGAAGAATAGCTTGCTAGTGACCTCAGTTATGTCACTCCATTAATTTCACAATGTCATCTCCAAGTACAAGCCAAAAGGAAAGAACTCTCACAGATATTTGCAGAAATACACAAGTCCAGGGGTGGTAGGTTATTGTAAAATGTTTTCTGGTCCATTAAATAATCACTGTGACTTCAGGGGTGTATCAGGAAGGAAAGTAATGGCAGGAAGAGAGTAACTACAGCCTAATTGAACATTCACTGTGACAGATGAATATCTCTTCCAGGCACCACACACAAAGGCACAGCTGAATCAATCAGTAGCAATAGAATAGAAATCATATTTTTCTTATAGCTAGGGCATGAGAGTAAGATTCCAATGGAGATAGTATTGGCATAAAATAAATCAAGGGAAAATTAGATCATCTTGCAGATATTCTGAGATTTACGCACATCTTCTGCCTTCTAAGTAAGTTCAAGATAAAAATGGTAAAACTGAGTGCAGTGACATTAGACACTATCCGAGAAGCAATATACATGATGCTTATGTTTTCTTTATAATTTTGTGTACTTCTATAGATAAACATGTTTATATAAATTATAGAAAGTGTGAGTTTTATGTTTTCTACGCTGTATGGCACACACAGGGACCATTCTTTTTAGAGCTTTTTAGGATGCCAGTAGTATGGGAAATCTTCCAGGACTCCAGGAAGTCATTGAATTGTTGAGAGGCATAGACAGGGCCATCATCAGTCTTAAATGTCCAAGGTATTTCCCTAACTACCATGACCAACATAAGAGCCATGATAGCATTGACAGCTTTCTCCTCAGAAAGGGCGAGGCATAAACCAAGGAGGAACAGGTATCTATTACCACATGCACACATATTTAAGATTGAAAAAGGGGGCATAGTGCATATATGCTGGATGAAGTTGTAGTGGTGGCTGAGGAGCTAGATGTCAGGGGGCTATTGTTTTCACTTTTAGGTGTTGTCATAACATAAAAATGGACTTAAATATTGGAGAAGCACACACTGAGCCAGGAGTGGAAATGGAGAAAGAGTTGACAGTTGGGCTCAGCATCTCAAGCAGCATGGTGGGCTTTGGAGTGGGGGAGGGAACCATGGAGGATGGGATACTGACAGACTGCTCAGCCTGAGGGACTCCAGGAATTTGGTTTCAGTGAGTGGTGTTGCAGATCAAGAAGCATCAGTCCCAGGAAGGCAGCTGTAGGCTTGGAATCTGAGGAGGTGCTGGCCAACAACCCTGTCAGCAATTATGACATCACCAGCCACCATCACAGATTTCCAGATTTCTACTGGATTAGCCCTTTTGCTGATCTTCTCAAACCTCTCCTTGGCAATAGAATGTACCAGAACAGTAGCAGTGGTGATACCATCCCCAGTCTCTTCATTTGTGTCATTGATAATATCTTGAACAAATTTAGTTCTGATATTTTTGTATTTATCCTTTAAATCAATTGACTTTGCAACAGTGAGCCCATCTTTGGTACTTTGGAACTTCCCTAACTCTGTTCAATAATCACTGTTCTTCCCTTTGGTCCCATTGTGGGGGCTGAGCTTGCCCAGGTAGCAGCCCATGAGCCCATGAGTTCATCAGGGGTCTGCCGCCCAACGAGCTATGGGGTTCACAGAGGCTGCTGTTGGCCGCTGAATTGGCCTGGGGTAGTGAAACAGTGCATGTTGGCTGAAAGTGCTGGTGTGAGTCATGCATGGATGATGACAGGCCCCTCATGCTGCAGGGTTTGCAACTGAGGCCTCACCAGACTACTCTCACCCCTATGGCCAGTCAGGTCAGAGTGCCACCGTAAGAACAAGGTCAAGCAAAGCTAGGACAAGTGTCATGGCACCTGCTGGTCTCCTGTGGTCACAGGTTCAGTCTTCCTATAAACCTAATAGGGGATTTCCTTCTCAGTTCTGCCAGCAGCTCCAAGAGTACCCCAGTGAAGGTGTAGCTTCCCATGGCAGGAATGGAGCTAACTGGGAAGCAGTACGTGCAATCTTAACTGTGGCCATACTCTTTGCAGCAGGCCCCTGGGGGCTCGAACTGTCTGTCTCCCCTTCATCAGATGTTGGGAGATCAGATGTGTAAGGGGAGGAGGTGAAGGAAAGGTTGCCCATTGTGTACAGGTGGACAGCAGACAAATGGGTGGACAGACAAATTTGACAGCAGCACACAGAAAAAAAAAGGGTGGATGTCCAAATACTTACCTACCAAAGGGTCAGAGACCATACAACATTGAGGGGCCTTCTCATCAAAAATACACCATCTTGGGGCTGCTGGCCAGTACTGTGAGTAAGGAGAGAGAAAAGACTAGAACCTATTTTAGGCAAAACCCATAAATTTATAGCCACAATGAAAAAAAAAGGACTCTGATCAGGCCGGCTCAAAACCTATGCTAGAAGTTCCTATTCTGGGTTCCCGATGTAGCTAGGCCCTAACATCTGTAGGTAGGAAGTGAAGGCCTACCAGGCCAAAAGGAGTCAACCTGGAGTCTGTCTGGAGCTGTCAGAGGTCCTGATCATGCCTAGCCGATGACGGGTGACCATGTGAGGTCAATGCACCAGAACACCTGAGTGCAGTAAAGGTAAATAAGTTTTTTCCTGTTGTTCAATAAAGAAGTGTGTTGTATGCCTCCTGTCTGACTCCCAGTGTCTGCACCATTGGTGCCACGCCTTCTCACCCCCTCCCCGGAGG